CACTTGCATGTGTTTTCCTTGTTTCTTTCTATGATTTATCTGGGATTTCACGATATAACATAGGCTCATTAAGGACCCTAAAATTTTAATTTTCTACTAAATCCTAAATAAAATATTCAAGATAATTAAAATTTAGGATTAAAATATTTAGGATCTAAAAATTGCAACTTTTACTTTCCTGCATATATTAATAGGGCCTCCACAATACTTAGGATCATTCTAGATAACTGCATTCATCTTTGCATGTCCCGAGGAGGAGTCCCTGTGTTTTTCCAACCTGACTGGCCCAACATATCTTCATATAGATGGTTGTCTAGTGCGCCTAGGGTGTTATAAGGCTCCCCGACCCAGACGGGGTGTAAGTCTTTTTGTTTGGAGTGTTTCTAGCTTTGTATGCTGAACCTCCACTTTCTCTTCTTTCCTGAGGCGTCATTGCTACTTCGGCAGGTATAAGTCCCACCCCTTGGAGCTCCAGCTTGTAGTCATAGGATAGAGTTTCTTTCCTCTAACCTTAGGGCTACCGAAGTTCTCGTGGATGATGCAATTCACGGATTGCTGACCGGGGATTTCAGGACTTGTTGGGTTGACTACCTTCAAGACCAGGTAGACTTTGGGTTCTAGTAGCTGTGTATGACGGGTCTGTGGTACCCCGACCCAATTACCTCTACCTTTTAGGATCACTCTACCTTCTTTTTTTGTTGAGCCCCTTTGAGCCCTATCACTCTTTGACCTCGTTGATATCACCTTGACGACCCGATGCCGATGAGCTGCCGCCCATTTGGGATATGACGATTTGTCCTCTGCCCTTTGGCCCGGATGTGCTTTGACGTATTGGGAGATCCCCATTAAGATGATTTAGGTTATTTCGTGGGCCCCATGTGCTGATAAGCCGCTACCCATTCCGGGATATGAGAGACTCATTCTCTGCCCAATTGTTTAGCGTAAGCTTTAAAGTATTGAGACTGTTCCCACACGGAATAACCTTCCTTTGGTTGCCTATACCCCAGGTTTATGATAATACAAAGCGAAACTCCTTTTATCGAGAGTATTCTTGGGTATCCCCCGAGATGTAATTAACTAGTAGGAACACGTTCCTCTGGGAGTGCTCTTGACCCTAGAACAGGTACATACACCTGACTCTCTGGTTATGGGTAGTCTATGTAGACGCGAATATTGGTTTAAGGTGCCTCCGCTCGATCTTTTTTGGGCGGACATTTTTAACCTATCTTTGCGAGGTTTATCGCACGTAGACTCTCCACGTTTTACTTTTTCTCTTGTTTGTCACTTTGTCGTATGTCCCTTCTTATTCGATTCCTCTCCTCTTCGAATCATTTATATGGTTCGGGAGGGAGATTTATTCGAATGAGGGAAGTATACGACGATTGACAAGCTGACGACTCCCATTTAAAATAAAAAAAGAGAAAAATGAACGGAAACAGATGATGAGTTCCCATAGGGTTTAGAAGCCTCAAGAACACCCATTACGACTTTCGTACATTCGTGCACGAATATCACGATTCAGACGACCAACAAGATAAGTATTGCAATTCGCATCACCTGCACCTTTATATGTTGCATAATTAACTAAAATCTAGATAAAATTTTGAAAAGATCGATCGCGAACCAAAATTTTGACGAAATTTAATTTGACGTATTTTTGACCTGATTATCGACGAAGTGGTTTTAAATGACCCTGAATGATGAAACGACCATACGAGTGTGCTTGGAATGTCGATTTTGATTAGGAGAGCGTTCATTTCATCTCGAGTACATGACAGGACAGAAGAAGTCGCGAATGATAATATATATATATATATATATATA